GAAATGCACACTGCTAACAGGTTACAGCGCTGGGGAACAATCTTGTTGAACTGCGGCTTTAAGATGGAATACCTACCCTCGAAAAAACTAGGACACGCCAACGGTTTGTCTAGATCGATTCCAAAATTTACAGAACCGTTAGAAGACACAGATGAGAAAGAATTATCAGTATTACTATGCGATACAATTCGGGAGTTACCTTTAACTCTAGAAGATATAAAAAAAAACAGATGAGAAGGACGAATTCATTAAAAAATGAAGAAACGGGTATGAATGAGAGAAAACTTAAAAATGGATCTAAAATATCACCTTTCTCAATCTGCGAACAAGGGTTATTATATGTAGATAGAGTGGTAATGCCATATACACTGCAAAAGAAAATCGTGAAGGAATTTCATATAGGTCATCCGGGCATGTCAAGAATGAAATCATTAATGCGTAGCTATACGTATTGGCCTAGGATGAACCAGGATATTGAAAAAATGCTAAAAGAGTATAGAAGTTGTCAACTTGCGGCAAAAGCACCACCTATAAAAATTCAGCCATCGCCTAAAACGGATGTCCCGCGGACGAGGTTACACATCGACTACGCTGGACCTATAAATGGTTACCACTACCTTATAATCGTGCACAGTTTCTCCACGTAGTAGACACCAGACATCCGCAAATACTATGAATGTACTAAACGAGCTTTTTAGTCGTTTCGATGTACCAAAAACTTTAGTTAGTGACAACGGGACACAATTTACCAGCAGAGCATTTAAGAATTTCTGCACATTTTTGTCCATAGACCACATTACGACCTCTGATCAAATGGGCAAGCAGAAAGATTCGTGGACATTTTTAAAAGAGCTCTAAAAAAGAATCGTGGCATGGGCACTGATGAGAGGAGGATGCAAAAGTTTTTAGCGGTTTACAGAATTATTCCCAATCCGAACATAGATTCAGGCCTATCACCAGTAGAACTGATGTTCGCAAGAACAATTCGGCCAGTGTTGACAGGTTGTTAAATGGAAAGAGTGGTAAATTCTTCAGAAATTATAGAGGTGAAAAACTTTTAGGAAAACGTAATTATCACCAAAAGACTTGGCAGGGTCTTTGGTGATAAATGCTCAAAGGAAGATTTGAATGTAAGAGACATTCAAATCAGTTAAGGACAAAACATACGAAAGATATCACACGTAGTGAAGAATTACCAATGGAGGTAATATATGACGGATTCGAAATACCCGTTTCCATATCTCCACCACTACCGATGGAAGTATCTCCAACCCCGCCAGTGCCAGAAATATCAGCTCCTCGAAAACCGCTAATGCCTCAAATCTCACCAGCACAAAAATGGTGAGACGGAAAAGTACTAGGAAGAGGAAAAAGTCAATTATGTCCTGACACCAAAAAGAAGAGGTATTGAGCAAAATTTCATGGGAGAATTAGCTATGGGGAAGGTGTTGTAATGGAATGTCCCACACTCCCTATCGCCTATGTGGACTGACTATATCAGTAGCTGTATATAGTGAGCACAGGATATATACCTGAGGGCTTGTTTCGGGAATTACTAGCCGATTCCCTGTCTTTCAGTAGTGTATACTCTTTTACAATAAATCTCTCTTCTTTCATCTACGCGCGTGTTGCTGTTCATTCACTCCAGTACTACCTTTGTCTGATTGTAACCTCTTTAAGGATACAACACTAAGTCTGCCACTCCTTGTCGTAGTTGGTTGTATGGAATGTATTTGGACGGAAGTGGTGGTGCGTTATGAGGTGGAACCACTGATTCTGGTGATGGAGGCCTAACTACTGTCGTCTGGTCACCAAAAGAGCTTGGTGCTGGGAGGGGTAGAAATAGATTTGCCTGTGTTGCTATACTACTCCACTGTTAGTATAGAGTTTGCTATTAGTTAATCTGAGTGTCGTTTCCAGTGGTTTCCGGGGATGATTTTTACTGTGCATGATCTTGGACCTTCTTGGGAGCTGATCCTTAAATGTTGCGAGCAAAGATGGTGTCACTCTTCTTTAGTGACGGTGGGTTTGCCTGAGAATGGGAAGAAATCTGTCTGCTCTGATTTGCTGACACACTGGTTTTGATATTGGGTCGTAGCATTTCTACAAGAAATTAGAAATTTGGATAGCTTTGTATGGATGGTGACATGTTCATACTTTGCTGATTTCATCGCTGATTTCAGTGAGTGCAGCACTCGTTCTGGTAATCCATTGGCTGCATGATGGTATGGAGCATTTTTATGTGTCTAATACATGTGGAGAAGCGTTTAAATTTGTCAGATGTGAAGGTTGATGTATTATCTGAAACTAATAGTTCTGCGATACCATATCTTGTGAACATTGTCATTAAGATATCTACGGTTGTTGTCGTTGTAGCATTAGATGTAGGTGTTACCTCTGCCCATTTCGAATGGGCACCGACTGCTACAAGGAACATTGATCCCTGGAATGGTCTTGCATAGTCCACGTGTGCTCTCCGCCAGAGTCTATCCGGCCACATCCAATGATGTAGAGGAGCCTTTGGTGGGTCCGGTTGAGTGATGGAACATATCACACATGCTTTCGCAGCAGCTTCGATGTCCTTGTCAAGATTAGGCCACCAGAAGATTTCTCTGGCTATGCCTTTCATGCTTCCTATAGTCGTCACAGAGAGGAAGTACGGACAATCGATAAGAGAATCGGGAAAACGTAAGTGGCACACGCCTCCGCCCTGCACTTCACGGACAACCTCCGTCGATGCCAAGTCTGGCCGGCCGCGTCGACCTTTGCTCGTACTTCAGACCAATTTTTCTCCAGCTGGAGGTCGTGTTCAAACCACACTCCAAGAATGCGGACAGGACTGTCCGTCCAACCGAAGGACCCCGGAAGATCGACCCACTGCCAGGCACCTAATCGCAAGCCGGACGACTTGTCGCGGTTATTCTTGGCCCCTGTCACCTTTTCGTACCGATCATGCGCCTTCAGTACCGCTTCAATATCGCTGCGGGATGACAGGAAAGCAGATACGTCATCGGCGTACGCAGAAACCCTGGCTCGAGCCACTCCAGCAACGGCGATTCCACGTAGGACCGGACTGCACGCCCTTAGCCGGCAAAGGAGAGGCTCCAAAGACAAAGCAGAGCGTAGGGTCGACAGTGAACAACACTGGCGAACCGACCTAGACAGCGCAAAAGCGTCCGACAGTTTTCCGTTCACCTGTACCACAGCACTGGGAGAGAGATAAAGGAGGCTAATCCAGCAGCAAAAGTCGGGTTCGAATCCGGCGGCCTGTAGGACAGCCGCAAGGTAGCGATGGTCAACCCTATCAAATACCTTGGACTGATCCAAATTGATCAGCGCGGCCTCATCGTCGTCTTTTACACCCTCTATAATCGTGCGGATCAGATGCAGGTTGCTCTGAATTGTTCGGCTCATCACAGAACAAGTCTGCTCAGGACCCAACAGAGATTCGGCAACTGACAAGCAAACGCTCCTGCAGGATCTTGGCCAAAATCTTTAACACTGTGTTTAGCAGAGTTATGGGCCTGTAATCATCTAGTTCCCCCCCATACCCTTGCCCCTTTTCAACAGCGTGATTACATCCCTGGAGAACTGGTCAGGGATGGACCCTGCCGGTACCAGTTGTTGAAAACTGGAATCAAAATCGGGACAAAGATGTGCGATAGCCTCAAGTAGAATTCATAGGGCAAACAATCCAGACCGGCCGACTTGCCTCTGCCGACCGCGTAGACCCTCGCCTTCCGTGATCTCTTCCTCGCAGCTCGCCGCTTCAGTCGGCAAAAGCCGAGGAAAGTCATCCAAATATCTGCAAAACTCGTCCTCAACGAGACCAAGCTCCTTAGGAAACCGGCTCTCAAAATGCCACCAAAAACGTCTCGCACATGTCGTCAGTGGCCCGAAGAGTATGCCCCTCCGGTGTTTTGACTTCACGAATGTAACGATCGCCACTTCGACGGACCTCTTCCTTGCGCAATTCCGCGCCCATGTTCACAGCTTCGGAGGACATCTTGCTCAACCTATGTCTAATTACCTGGCCCATGTAGCGCTCGCTATTCGAACGCTCCATTGCCTCCCTAGCTAAGGCTATCTCTAGCGGATCCCCCAGCCACCGCCCGGGAAAGACTAGCTCTAAGCGTCTTCACCTTCTCAACTCTATCTATGGCGAACGGTTTGCTGAAATCCGTGGTGAAGGACCTAATCCTACTCTTACGTCTATCCCACCACTTATTCCCGATAACTGCCCCCACTAGCTCCCGCTGCACTAAGTTAGTTAGTTGCTCCTGGAAGTTCCGCCTGTCAAGTAAAGACAGATTGAACTTCCAGTAACCAGCCATTCTAGTCCTATGACCTAACGCCATACGGGCACAAACGAGTTTGTGGTCCGTATAACCTACCCAGTGGAACGTGAGACAATCTAACAGATCTATTTCGGCTCTTCTAACTAACATTCTGTCAAGGTAGCTAACCACTTTGTCACAAGACCAGCTAAGAGTCCACGTCCACATCCCCCCCGGGGGTGATCGACCCGGTATCTATCAACGAGACCAAAATCTTTGATCACATCAACCAAGGTAACCCCGGCCCCAACCGCCGAAAAAACGAGACCCGCTCCTCCTCGTCGATGAGCGCATAAACCCAAACGCCTCGGAACGAACCACTTTTCACGGCAATTTCGGCCACGATCAACCGGCCCTCGGCATCGGTATGCACAAGGTCCGCTTGCCAAGAGGCTTCCGGCTAGCTGCTTAGCTTGTTGCTCAGTAGCTAGGAGAATGTCCCAAATGGCATTGGTTCTCTTAGCCAAGACTTTCGGTGTGATATCGCTTGTTGCGGGGCCGATAAGGATGTCGCCCCCGCAAGCTTTACAAAGAAAGGTGTGAACAGCTAAAACAATGACGGGACAAAGGCAAAGGTTTAGGAAGACGCGCCTAGTGAAATTTGCCAATGCGGCCTTCGCTCTATGTAATGCGTGCAGAGCATCTCCCTCCAACGTGAGCTCCTTATTCCTTCTCTGCAGCAGGTTCGTCAGTGGCTGGAGAATAGTAGCACAATTTGGGATGAATCATACCGAGGAAACGTCGCAATTGTTTGATGGACGTCGGTGTAGGAAAATCCCGGATCGATCGGATCTTGTCTGGCAGAGGTGCTATGCCGTTAGCGTCGGTGTGGTGCCCGAGAAAATCGACACTGGGCGCCCCGAAAACGCACTTGTCCAGGATCAACTTCAGGCCGTAGTGCGAGAGTCGCTGGAAGACTTCTCGCAGGTGTTGCCTGTGAGAGTCGGTGTCTTTACTGGCCACCAAGATGTCATCGATATAAGCGAATACGTGCGGTAGTCCGCGCAGGACTTCATCTATGAGCCGTTGAAATGTCTGGGCAGCGTTACGCAGACCAAATGACATTTTTAGAAACTCATATAGGCCAAACGGTGTGGTGACTGCCGTCTTAGGGACGTCTTCCTCAGCAACGGGGATCTGATATATGCCTTTGTCAGGTCGATTTTCGAAAAGATGAGAGCACCCTCCAGTCCGGATGCAAAATCATGAATTTGAGGGACAGGGTACCGGTCTGGTACAGTCGATGCATTTAATTTTCGGCAGTCGACGCCTATCCGAAATTCCTTGCCACCAGGTTTAGGCATTAATTACAGTGACGATGCGTAAGGGCTATCGGAAGGACGAATGATGACATCACTCAGCATTTTGTCGAATTGTTCCTTGGCGTACGCCAGTTTATGTGGAGCGAGTCGTCGCGGGAGGGAGTGTTCAGGAGGACCTCTAGTCCTGATGTGGTGCTGAGTTTGGTGGTCACCTGAAGCAGTGGCTTGGAGTGGCAGTGTTATATCTGTGAACTGTGTCAGGAGATCTAAGTACTCGCGACCATAGCATGTTGCGACGCTGATTCCTGTGGAGCTTTGACGTGTAGGCGTACCTAAGACACGGAGATTCGTAGTCGTGTCGGATAGGGTCCTAGGGTTCATATGGACCGCACGTGCGTAATGCGCCAGGAAATCCGCGCCGAGGATGGGTATCTTCACGTTAGCCACGGTGAATGTCCAAGTGAAATCACGTCGCATGCCGACATTCAGAGTAAGGGTACGTAAGTACGTGTCTATCGCGGAACCATTCACAGCTCGTAGTTTGAGCAGGGTGGGCTTAGCGGTATAGTCGTTCTGATAGGGTACCACACTGATGGCCGCACCTGTGTCTACGATGAATTTCAGTTTGTTCTGGCGATCCCAAACGTAGAATAGACATTGCGTGTTGGTACCGGATAAGTTAGTCGTCGCCACTCTCCGGTTTACTCGTTTCCCCGTGCCGACGGGTGTGTACAGGGAGGTTTACAGTTCCTGGCTCCATCGCCAAATGTGCGATGAAACCAACAAATGCCCCGGTCGCTTCGCCGTTCTCGGCTGGGGGTTCGTCTCCGTCGTTATCGAGGTGGGGTCGGTTTCCTTGTCCGTGGGCGCAGGGAGATCTGGATTTCTCGAATTTATCTTTGCAGGTCGGCGAACGCCCGTTCTGTCTCACTCAGCTTGTAGCGTTCGTGCTTTGCTGTGTCGGGGGTGTGAACTGCGTTCTCGCCGTGGTCAAACTGCACAAAAACCAGGTCTGCAGATTCTACCAAATCATACAGAGGCGTGGCTCTCGTTATTGGGGCGATAATCTGAGCGACTGATTTGGGCAAACGCTCCACCCATAAGCCTCGAAGAACCTTTTCTGGCACATTGTACTTTCCCAGCTGGTTCCTCATATACCTGAGAAGCTGGGATGACGTCTTGTTACCTCTGGTGACGTTCCGTAGAATCTCTTGAATAATGTCCTCCTTTTCCGCACAGTACGCTTGAGGATCGCTTCCTTTAAGTGATCGTACGGTTCATGTTCGCGGAAATCGGAGAGAACATCAGAAATTTCATCCATCATATCGGATGGGTGTTTCTGCATTACATTTGCGAATCTGGCTCGCTGTGAAGTGATGCGTAACATGGAAAAGATCGATTCTACCTGCAAGAACCAGTTCTTTGCATTATGGTGGTATGCAGGTAGCGGTATGATCGCGGCCATCATCTCTGAAGAATCACTTTTGACCGACTCTATCATCGCTTAGATGTCTCACGTCAGGAAGTCACCACTTGTTGCGGGGCCGATAAGGATGTCGCCTCGTAAGCTTTACGAAGAAATGTGTGAACAGCTAAAACAATGAGGGGACAAAGGCAAAGGTTTAAGAAGCAATAACGTTGATTTTATTTATCCATAATGTACAAGAGTGTACTCTGGAGAAAAATGTTTGTATCGGTGTCGGGTCCGGTATCACTGGTTCACGCCGAAGTGTAGAACTTGACGAGGACGGAGTTCCTAAACAGGGCCGAGTGATACGACTTCCAGGGCGAATCAACCGCGGAGACGGGATCGCGCCGAAGTGTAACACTAAACAGGGCCGAGTCAGAATACGTCCAGGGCGGATCAACCACGTAGGCGTAGGCCGAGTCAGAGTAGTGATACGACTATCGCGCCGAAGCGTAACACTTGATGAAGGCGAAGTCCCTAAACAGGGCCGAGTCAGAATATTGATACAACTTACAGGGCGGATCAACCACGGAGGCGGGATCGCGCCGAAGTGTAACACTTGACGAAGGCTGAGTCCCTAAACAGGGCCGAGACAGAATAGTGATACGACTTCCAGGGCGGATCAACCGCGGAGACGGGATAGTGCCGAAGTGTAACACTTGGCGAAGCTGGTCAGAGAGGTGATACGTCTTCCAAGGCGGATCGACCGCGGAAACGTTTTTCTAAGGAGCGGCTAATGACGGCCGCAACAAGATTTTTTAATGTTTCTTCCATTGTTCCCCTGCTGACTCCAATTAATTTCCTACCTTTTACGTCGGAAGTCAGAGGGGAAATTATTTTAGCGTTCACGGCATCTAAAGCCTCAGGAATTGTGAGGAAGTCCGTTCCTTTCACATATTGGTCGTACTTCTCTTTCAGTTGGCTATAGTACGCCGCATCTTTCTTTGGTGGCCTGTTTTCCGACCAGGCTGATTTTTTATCCGGTGCCAAATTTCATGGTGTCAAATTTTCGGTTGACACTGTTTCCGGCGGTGAATTTTCTGCCATGTGGGCGGAAATGCCCACCACGGCTTTATTTCTTTTTTCTCTTTTTTTTTTAAACAAAAAATTAAAACAAAAACAATTCAAAGAAGAACGTGGCAAAAATAAAATGAAAAGCACGTAAAAACTGAAATAAACAAATCAAACTAAAACAGTAATAAAACCATAAACGGGGGAGGGTAAATACAACAAAGAAATAAGCAGAAAAGAATGCAGAACTGAAAAACAAATACGTACAAACAAAGAAGGAGGAAAAACCAAAAATTCAAAAGTTCGCAAAAAGGAATTCAAAATAAATCAAACCGTAAACGTTCGCTTTCAGCTTTAGCATGAGCAACGTAAAAAAAAAAAATCAACACGACTCGTCAGTGAACCAATCAGCACTGTATTTATTGTATAAAAAAATACAATTATGGCACAACGACGAAAAAGGAGAGGGGTTGAGGCTTGTCTTAACTAACTATCCTATACATAGCTAATCCGATTCACAACCCATTCATACATTACAATTTCCACATTCACCACAAGAACTCGTCCGTCACCACTCAATCCTCCATACCACATTTTCTGTAGGGAGACCTATAAAGACGCACCCCATACCATAAAAATTTAATGATCATAATAATACAAAAAATCTAATAATGAAGAATGAAAGGGGAGGGAGATGAACCCAATGACAAACTAAAATATTAGCACAAGCAAACTGAACATAACTGATGTTAGTAGAGCTCGTCCAACCCTCAAAACAGAGAAGCTGCTGTATTCTGCCCATTGGACAAAATCAAGAGGGGAATGGGAAAAGTGAAAATATAGACGAACATGGGGAATAAAAAGCTGACCCAGTCGAGATCAAAAAGTGGGGCCAAAACAAACTGGGGAGGTTGGGAATCTCAAGCTGGATTATACCTAAAAAAGTGGCCAGAAACAGACCGGGAACAACACTTACTCACATTAACTAGGTACACAAAGCTTGTCTAACCTAACCAAGGGAGGGCTCCACAGGAAACCACCCCGATGTGACGTAGGTTGAGTTAGAAGAGAAAATCAAGGCTAGCCCCGTTCAAACGAACCAAGCTTGCCTCAGTCACCCACCTTTCGCTGAAGACTGTCGAATGCAAGCGCTTTCTATCAGTTCTAATCTTCATCTTGATGCTCAAGTAATTGGATCAGATCCTGATGAGAATGACGGATGCCTCGCAAGACATCCTCCTGTCGCGTCGTCCAAACCACCATTTGGGCCGTGGCCAGCAGCGTCAGAAACACCATTTGCTTCACCCCAGAATACGGAGGCGACACATTGTCACACGTGTATGCGCGATTAATGGGGACGAGCTTTGCGGGAGCGAGACGAGCCGTCAACTCACCGACATGGTCCCATAAGGGGCGGACCCGGGGACAATGGTAGAAGGCGTACGAAACCGTTTCTTCAAAACCAAGGTCAGACCGTTCACAGTCTGGCAAATCCGCCAAGCCCCATATGAAGGCATTGAGAAGCAGCCAATCGCCAGGTAAGCGAAAATTCAGGGTTACTGAGGTAATCCGCCGCTGGCGCCCAAGACCAGTAAAAGCTAAACTCCTCCTCCGACAAGTCGAGCTGTTCACGTAGGGAATCCTTCGCGACCCCTACCACTAAAAGACAATAGAATACCTTTCTAGGCCAAGAAAGATCACTGGACCGAGGAACGGCCAACAAGGCCGACCGACACTCGCGAAGGAAAACCAATTGATCCCGGGATTTACGAAGGCGCTCAACCCGCAAGATGGGGGGGGGGTAATATAGAAAAGCGAGGGAACGCGTCCCTCACAATCTCCTCCATAATCGAATCTAAACGTGTCAACCCGCGGCGTAGGAAAGCCAACCTCGAGGCACGTTTGTGGCTCTCCAAGGGTGGCATTCCCAGCCCCCCATCATGACATATCGTGCACAGACTCGTCTGCCGACCCGATTCCCGCGTCCCCGCCATAAAATGGAGGATAGCAAGCGTTCGAGCGCCTTCCTATGGTCGTCACAGAGAGGATGTACGGACAATCGATAAAGGAGATCGGGAAAACGTAAGTGGCACAGGTCTCCGCCGTGCCCTTCACGGACAACCTCCGTCGACGCCAAGTCTGACAGTCAGCATTGACCTTTGCTCGTACTTCAGACCAATTTTTCTCCGGCTGGAGGTCGTGTCCAAACCACAATCCAAGAATGCGGACAGTACCGTCCGTCCAAGCGAAGCGCCTCGGAAGATTGACCCCCTTCCAGGCACCTAACCGCAAGCCGGACGACTTGTCGGGGTTAATCTTGGCCCCTGTCACCTTTACGTACTGATAAAGCGTCTTCAGTACCGCCTCAATATCGCTGCGGGACGACACGAAAGCAGATACGTCATCTGCGTACGCAGAAACCATGGCTCAAGTTCCTCCAGGAACGGCGATTCTGTGTAGGGCCGGACTGCACGCCCTGTCCCTCAGCCGGCGAAGGAGAGGCTCCAACGCCAAAGCATAAAGTATGAGCGAGAGCGGTCAACCCCCTGCGGATCGACCAAGACAGGGCAAAAGCGCACGACAGCTTCCCGTTCACCTGTACCACAGCACTTGCTCTGCCGACCTTCTTCAATGCCGCGTAGACCTCGCCTTCCGTGATCTCTCCCTCGCAGCTAGCTGCTTCAGTCGGTGAAAGCCGAGGAAAGTCAGCCAAATAGCTGCGAAATTCGTCCTCGCGAAGACAAGGCTCCTTGGTAAAACGGCTCTCGAAATGCCACCGAAACGCCTCGCACATGTCGTCAGGGGCCCGAAGAGTATGCCACTCCGGGGTTTTGACTGCAGGAATGTAACGATTGCCACCTCGACGGACCTCTTCCTTGCGCAATTCCGCGCCCATGTTCACAGCTTCGGCGGACATCTTGCTTAAACTATGTCTAATTACCTGGCCCATGTAGCGCTCGCTATTCGAACGCTCCATGGCCTCCCTAGCTAAGGCTATCTCTAGGGGATTCCCCCCAGCCACCGCCCGGGAAAGACTAGCTCTAAGCGTCTTCACCTTCTCAGCTCTATCTCTTTGCTGAAATCCGTGGTGAAAGACCTAATCCTACACTTAAGTCTATCCCACCACTTATTCCCGATACTTGCCCCCACTAGCTCCCGCTTTACTAAGCTAGTTAGCTGCTCCTGGAAGTCCCGCCTGTCCAGTAAAGACAGATTGAACTTCCAGTAACCAGCCATTCTAGTCCTATGACCTAACGCCATACGGGCACAAACGAGTTTGTGGTCCGTATAGCCTACCCAATGGAACGTGGGATACTCTAACAAATCTATGTTGACTCTTCTGACTAACATTCTGTCAAGGTAGATAGCCACCTTGTCATAAGGCCAGCTAGGAGCGCACGTCCACATTTTCCCCCCGGGGTGGTCGACCCGGTAGCTATCAACGAGACCAAAATCGTTGATCAGATCAACGCGGCTACGATCGCCCTTCCTCCCGCTAGCATCCTGCCCCCGACCTAACTTGGGGTCCAGGATGGCATTCCAGTACCCCATTAGAACTAAGGGCGTTGAATCCACTAGGAACGGCCCCAACCACCGAAAAAACGAGACCCGCTCCTCCTGGTCGTTGAGCGCATAGACAAAAGTGGTTCGTTCCGAGTCGTCTCGGAACGAACCACTTTTCACGGCAATGTCGGCCACAATCAACCGGCCCTAGGCATCGGTATGCATAAGGTCCACCATGGCATCAAGAGTCCGCTTCACCAGCAAAGAAACTTCTCTGGCATGCCGGTACCAATATGCTGAATAAACGACAAAGTCGCTCTCCAGCACACACGCATTGACGC